GGTGTAATTGTTAAGGTCATTGAAGAGAGTGGTGTAATTGTTAAGGTCATTGAAGAGAGAGAGGTGTAATTGTTAAGGTCATTGAAGAGAATGGTGTAATTGTTAAGGTCATTGAAGAGAGAGGTGTAATTGTTAAGGTCATTGAAGAGAGAGGTGTAATTGTTAAAGTCATTGAAGAGAGAGGTGTAATTGTTAAGGTCATTGAAGAGAGTGGTGTAATTGGAACCCAGATAAGTGATGACGATTATTTTGGGTAATATTATTATTATTATTCAGAAATATTATTACGTTTTTTTATTCTTACCATACAGACCGCTTTTAACTGATCACGTGAATTATTAACTGTTAGTATATTAAGAATTAAATTAAATATAATAATACAGATAGCCCACTGTGTAGCTATGTGCTTAATAACCAACCAACAAACAATAGTATGATCTGACAATAAACTTATTGCTTTGTAAACAGTTAATAATTCACGTGACCAGTTAAAAGCAGTCAGTATATTAACAATGAAACTAAATATAATAATACAGATAGCCCACTGTGTAGCTATGTGCTTAACAACCAACCAACAAACAATAATATGATCTGACAATAAACTTATTACTTTGAAAACCGCTTTTAACTGGTCACGTGAATTATTAACTGTTAACAAAGTAGTAAGCTTATTGGCAGATCATCCTAAGAAGTTTACTAGCATTTATCGTGTTTTTGTACATTAAACTTATAAATAGAACTGAAACTAAACCAAAATAAAAACGTATAATCTTTATGAATTTCTTTACATGGCAATTTTCTCAAGTATACATTGCTTATTTTGAAGTGTTTTATATTCGACTAACGTGCTAATCATACACTGCGTTAACAGATCAACAATTATTAGGTTGTCAAGAAATTAATGTCGCGTTTTGGAACACTTTGGAACATCACGTATAATAGTTAAACAAACCGCCTAAACGTCACGTTTAATATACTCTAATCCCTTATAGTGATGGCACACCACGAGACACACATTCGACATGTAATGCTGTTTGAATACAAGTAGGGAAACAACGCCTCTGGATCCACAAAAAATATCAAAGAAGTTTATGGAAATGTTTTGAACGTTCGCAACTGTCAACGATGGTTCAGCAAATTTCGTTCAGGTGACTTTAGCCTTAAAAATTGTGATGGCAGGGGCCGATATGTTGGAATTTATATTGATGCTCTGAAAATACTTCTTGAGTCTAACTCAATGCAACACACTTGTGAAATGGCCCTGAAATTGCATGTCTCTCATGAAACAATAGGTAAACATCTAAGGAATATAGGAAAACTCCATAAAGAAGATGTTTAGGTGCCTTACGAACTCTCAGATGATCATCATTTCCAACGTGTGAACGTTGCTTCGTCTCTTCTGGCGCGTAATGAAAAATGGATTCTCTATGCGAATATTAACCGCCAAAACCAATGGCTCAGTCCTAGACA